CGGCCCAATATTTGGGTGCATTTAGTGCCACAGCACTGGTATTCGCCAATTATTACAATGCCATCAATGCATTTGACGGGGGAATTAGGTCTGGTTTTGGCGAGAACACCAGCACTGGTATGATATTCACAACATTCCCCAATCCAAGCGCTAGTATTTATGGTGTACTCTTAGATCAGGTATGAAATAGTGACAAATGTTATAATTTTCAATACAGTAAATAATAAAACCATGAATTGAATAGATTATCTGCGCTTCACTGGTAATGATGGCAGTGTTGACAGTAATGGATGACACAAATCTTCAAATACCTAAATATTTAATACCAGTCCTCATAAGTATAATCATATGCGGAGTCATTGTCTCATTTGGTTTCAATTGTGGCGCTGCTCTAAACCCTGCGCGTGACCTGTCGGCCCGCGTTTTCCTATTACTTGTCGGTTATGGCGATGATGTCTTCCTGCCCCTCAATGGCCTGTATTGGCTCATTGGGGGCATTATTGGACCCCATTTGGGTGCACTCGTCGGATCTGTCATCTACCTAATGCTCATTGACATACAGCACAAAACTTGTGAACACATTGTACTCCTTAAATGAAACTTGTTTATTAATAAGTTATAACAACAGACCCCTGATATATTATAATAAATATATAAATATATTTAGTTTACAATTTAATCATATATTTAATTTTGTTAATTACCTTTAATAAATGTTAATATTATATAATATTATAATCATAGTGTACAATTATGACACGAAATTGTTCTGTCGCGTTACTTTAATTACAACATTCATTAAATCGTTTTGCATTTAAATAAATATATTTAATATAATTTCATTAAGATCATTTACTGTACATAATAAATAAAATTACTTCTTAAATATTCGTGTTTCATATATAATATGTAATGCTAATTTGAAACTAATGGTGAGGGGAAATCCACTCTAATCTTTTGAGTCATTTTAAAATGTGCCATTACCAACTTCCCATCTCTGATAAGTTTTCACCAATTTGTCAGTATATCAATATTCAATGAATTCAATTAATGTAGTATGCATAATGCATTGTATAATTTGTATTTCATAAATTTTAAGTCAATATAAATTTATAACTAAAAACTAGTATAATTATTTAATTGTTATCAAGATAGATGTTTACAAATTTATTAAAGCGTATGGTTTGAATTAATCTTTTAAAGAGTTTGTTGTCATAATCGTTGTCATCATATTTGCGTCGATATCGCAGTCCATCCGATGTTTTAAAGCAGTTGTCGACAAATAATGACAATTCCTTCACATCTTCTTTGTTCTGAAGAATAGGAAACATTTGTCCGTCTGTTACATACGACACATACAACACCTCATCAGTCATTATTTCAAAATTTATTTTAAATCATAAATTAAAACTTGATTTAACCATATTTAATAGAGGAAAAATGGGCTTGATAACCTAAAAATGTAATA